TTTTTTTTTTTTAATCATAGCCTAACTAACCTGGGGGGAAGGAATTACTCAATTCTAGCCTACTTTAGCCATCGTGACCCACCTTAGCGATGCTGGAAGGTAAAGGTACTTAGAAACATTTTTGAAGTTCACTGCCCAGAGGCAGAGGCTCATCAAGACTGAGACCTAATCATAGGACCATAGAATACTTCCCCTCTCTATGCACCTAACCACATTACTAAATGTCTATTTACAACAGGTCCCAGCACTCTGACATCTAAGTCTCCCATCTACCCCTGATGCCCTCGATAGCTTTGCCCCAATTGCCATTTATACAACCATAGGAAGAACCAAGCAGAGCAATCTCCTGCAATCCCAGCCTCCATGGAGAGGGACTTGGCCAAACTTCCAACAACAGCCTTGGAACAGCCTGTATGCTGCACAGAGATCATCCAGCAGTGACAGGACTGTGACAATCACAGGGGAATGGCACAATAAAGAAAAGCATGGTACCTGTTTTTAGTGCATCTGATTCTCTTCTGCTGAGTCAGTCATCCTGAGTAGGTCGCAAAGCACCATCTAGGGACTAGAGTTCCCAGAAAAGAAAAGGTGTCCTGTAAATCTACCTGGTCCTAAGCTGAAAGAAGTTTTCAGATGAAAAGAAATCAGCAAAAGAAATCAGGCAACATGAAAAAAACAAGCTAGTTCCCTCAAAGGATCACAACAGATCTATAGCTATAGTCCTTCCTCACAAGGACATTGTTGAAATGTCAGAAATGGAATTCAGAATATGGATGACAAATAAGATGAGTGGAAATGAAGTTGAAAACCAACCCAAAGCCATAAAAGTATTTCAGAATATCAGTGAAAAAAATGAAAGAGTAAAGAGCTAGGAAACATGAGAAAGGATATAACAGAACTTAATGAAATTATGGTACCCTCTATGACCTGAAAAGAGAGTCAGACCCCCACTTAGATGTAATTAACTGGTAATTTATTTTACCTGCCACAGGGGCTGCTGCTCTGTGAGGCAGTCAGCCCCAGTGTGTGTGGGGGGTTGCCTTTTATAGTTTTTAGTAAGCATGCTAGAACATGAGCAAGAGCAAGACCCATCTCTAAAAATAGCCAGGCATTGTGGTGGATGCCTATAGTCCCAGCTACTTGGGAGGCTGAGGGAAATGGATCACTTGAGCCCAAGAGTTTGAGGTTGTTGTGGGCTATGACACCATGGCACTCTACCAGGGGCAACAAAGTGACACTCTGTCTCAAAAAAAAAAAAAAGAATGACACTCTAGAGATTCCCTATATAATCTCCAGACAAAATATATACATATAATTTAATAGCCTTAGTAGTTATTTAACATACCTGGCCCCAGATTTGCTGATTATACATAAAGAACCCTATGTGTGTTATCTGACCCTTCTTACTAGGTCTATGTAAATTCATAAAGCCACATATCACAAAATGACAATGAAATTGGCCTCTAAATAATCTATAGGAGTTATTAATAATCACAAGAGGAGCCTGCTAAATAATACACCCAGACCCAGCCAAAAAATTTTAAAAACTGGGAAAAAAAGTTGATTTCTTGATGTAGTATCACAGTAGAAAATTCTTTAACAAGACTCCCTAAGGGTCATCCGACTGTTAGGGAAATTTGCCTTTATTCAAATTACTATTTACTATTGATTAGGCCCAAACTGTGTACAATTAGATGTTAACTTGCAGAAAGCTAATAAAAATGAAAGTAATTTTTGTCCACCGGGATGCAAATAATTTGCACCTGGAAGAGAAGATGATCCCGAAGATCACAGCTTTATTGTCATATAGTATATTGACCAAGTTTGCATTTAACACAGAAATATGGTTTCAGCATTTCTGTGTTTCACTGATTACATGCAGGTTGGTATCCTTTTTTTTAATATTTTTAAATTCAAAATTTTTATTGGTACATAATAATTGTACATGTTTATGGGGTGCATGTGATATTTTGATACATGCATAAAACATATAATGATCAAATCAGGGTAACTGGGATATCTATCACCTCAAATGTTTATCATTTCTTCATGGTGGGAACATTTTAAATCTCCTCTTCTAGCTATTTTCAAATATGCAATAAATTATTGTTGACTATAGTCACCCTACTGTACTATCAAACATAGGACTTACACATGTCTAACTATGTGTTTATACCCATTAACCAACCTCTGTTCATACCTTCCCAGACTCTGATAATCATCATTCTACTTTTTACTCCATGAGATCCACTTTTTAGCTCCTACACATGAGTGAGAATGTGCAATATCTGTCTTTTTGTACCTGGCTTATTTCCCTTAACATGACTTTCAGTTTCAGCCATGTTGCTATAAATGACAGGATTTCACCATAGCATTAACTCTAGTTCCAGATGGTGCAGCCATGCAGGACACAGCAGGCAGAGCACAGAATTAGTTTCTTCTTTGGGCAAAGCACAACCGTGTGGCCTCTAGGCAGCTCCCTGGGCTGGTTTAGTGCCTGTGAGGACTGCAGGGAATCCCAGTAGTGAGGACAGCTGGTGTCCATGATAGCATCCAAGGTGTTGGTATGCACTGCTGGGATCCTCTTGCCAACCTCTGCACTGCAGGGAGTTCTTCCTGGTTCTTAGCTCATCCCAGCTGGAGGATCAGCTTGTGGACTCCTGGTGTTTCTCCCTGTCTCTATGTGGCTATCCTGAGTGTCTGTGCTCATGAGGGTTTCTGTTATTCCTTTGATGTATTTTGATGCTCTCTTTTAGTTATTTTCTTTAAAGGCTACTTGTTTATTAACTGCTTTGGCTGTCTTTATGGAAGGGATGAGCATTAAGGTTTTTTAGTTGGCCATCGGGCTTCCATTTCTCTTTTGAGTGGGTTCTGTCATCCTGCTTGTTCCCTCATTAATATCTAAAGAAAGCTGGTACTCAAGCTCACTATATATTTGCATGAGAATTATATTTTTATCATTTTGAGAATTATATTTTCACAAAAGAATATAAGAAATGTCACCACAGAAATGTCAGTTATGCTGGTGAAATAGAAATTCAGCTGAGCTTCTAGGATCAACTCCCAGAACTTCTGTGTGCATTCTTATTGTGTTATCAAGCAGATTAACTACTTGACTTTCACAAATAACATCAAGAATAATAAATATACTAATAAATAATAACCAATTCACCACCATTATCAATCAATAATCATACCTATCCAATGAGGATCCCTAGGATAATCTTCACAACCAATTTCTTCGCTGTGAAAAATGACCCAAACCTCCAAATCTTCTAAATTATGTGCAACATCATTTCACCCATGTTCTGAACACACAGAATAGAAGCAAACAAAGTTCCACAACCAAACCTAAAAACAAAGTCCCCCAGATAATCATATTTGAACCCCAGATTCCAGGACATGCCACAGGAGCCATAGTAATAGTAGAATAGCTAAACACTCTAAACTAGCAGTTCTCAACCTGTGGGTTGTGACCCACAGGAACTGTATTAAAGGGCTGAGGCATTAGGTTGAGAACCACTGCTCTTAGCAAAGCACCTAAACATACTAAAACGGAGCTATTAATCCCCCTAAAACCCACTAAAATTTATTACAATAATATAGCTAGCCAACCCCACCACTTACAAAGAACCCATGACATTCACAACTCAGGATGGAAGAGGTGGCTTTAAAGAAAAATTTTGAAAACCAAAAATGAGAATGATACTTAATAAAAGTATTAAATGTTAAACATCATAGTTTCCACATGGTATGGAACCAGGACCACTGAAACCCCCACATCAAGCTATCACTGCTGCTAATATGGATGCTAGCAATATGGGGGTGCTTGATGTCTATCCTGCTAAGATGTTTATTTTCAAAATTATAGTCTTAAATGAGTACATGATTGGGCAGAACACAGGTCACATGGATTCCCCTAGCCATAAGAGAAGCTGGAAAACATTGGCTGCTTGGCTTTCTTTAATCTATCTTGAGAAGGCAGTCTTGATCTTCATTGAATGCAAATCTGACCCTTTACCCACTTTAAAATACTCAAGGATAATTTTAAACTCTAACTTGTTACTTATGTGTTCCTATGATCTCCCTTCAACATGTTTTCCAGATTCTTCTCCCAGTCTGTCTCCCATCTACTCCCTGCCCCCTCCTTTCTTTCCCTCCTGCCCTCTCTCTCTCCCTACTTCTTCACACACACACACACACACAGCTTCTTGTTCCAGCATACTGTTATCTCTGGAACACATCACCATCACGCCCATGGCCTCCATTAGTATAGCCCTCCCTCAGCTCAAATGGTCCCTCTGTATTCTCCGACTCCCTCAAGAGGAAACATTCATTCTTACCTGAGTATTACATTGTATACAGCACATGCTTTATATTTTGCCACACCCATTATTAGTCTATACATCTCCTTCCAGGATCTCCCATCTACATCCCTCACACTCAGAAGCTGTATGTGTGCTCCTGAAGCAACCTGAGATGAACTCTCGTTGAGCACTTATCACAATGTATTCTATTTGTCTGTTTCTTAAACCATCCTGTGAACTCCACTAGGGCTAAGTCTACGCCTTTTCACCTTTATACTCCATGTGCCTAGTTCCCAGGAGGTACTCAATAAATTCCTGGCGAATGAAAAGAAAAAGGAAATAAGAATAAGGAATAAATATGTTTCCTAGTCTGCCTCACCCAGGAACACACTCTGTTCATGGTAAGCACATTGTAAAAGTCATTAAATGCTTGGGTGAAAGGCACAGTACAACGAGAGTACGTTTACAGGTTTGTCTTCAGACTTTCTGGTGAATGTAGAAAGCAGCAATTAGGTTCGTTCTGTTAGTGAAAAAGTCCTTCTGCCAGTGCGATAGTCCCGCCACCTAACTGGGATGAAATCCTGTGTATCCTTGTCCATCTTCACCTACGGCCTTTATCTTTAGGGGCAGCATATGATCTTGTACAAAAGAGGGATTCAATAAAGGTTTGTGGAACTGGGGTATATGCCTTACCTGAGGTTGTACAAACCATTCGCCTGCATTCAGAGTGGACAGGAAACTCCAGTTGAAGAAGGCAGGGTGCATGAAGGCAGCATCTGGCAGAACTTCCATGATATTGGTGGTTCTTCTCAGGTCATAGTCATGCATAAGGAAAGGCACAGCATCATAACTGCAGGCAGAGGTGGAAGGGGAGGTGGACAGGCTAAACTTAGATACCCTGGTAGACAGGATCCCCCAGACAGCCCTTCAAGAGCATGTCTTTCAAATTTCAGAAAAGGACTAAGCACCAGTTATTTACAATCAAAAGGCAAGATAATTCATTTCCAGCATACCTTTACTATATAAAAAATTAAAAGATCATACCAAATCTTATAGACAATAGAAAAAGAAGATTTGGCATGATCTGTTTTTTGAAATTATCTTTTATTTTTATTTATAAATATTTGTTGTCTATTTTTTGAGACTTTGGAAAAAATAATAAGAAGTTAATTGACAACTCTATACTGAACCTCAGAGTCAAAGCATTCTATAATAGTCATCCTCTTCTGGTTGCTTAATACTTCGTTGCAACAATCATCTGATTTCTTTTCTGAATGTATTTATCTTCATTCATTCTTTATGAGGTTTTGTTTCTAGTCCTTATCTTAAACATAGTTATTGTTGGTAAATTTTAAGCCTTTTTAATTCTGTGAAGGCAAAAAGTGGAAACCTAATAATCACATGTATGTGTAAAAATAAAATAAATAAAAAATTAAAAGTTGTTATTAGGCAAAAAGGAAAACAATACAATTTGAAATTGGATCTATACAAAAGACTAAAGAGCTCCAGAAGTGATAAATATATTACTAAATATTTAAAACGTTTTTCTCATTTTTTAAAAAAGAATTGACTCTTTAAAGCAAAAGTTACTAACAATGTATATCATGAGTTTCATGACAGCATCAGGTCTAACTATGGGAGGGGTAAACGTTAGCACACTGTTAAAGGACATTCTTTAGGCCCAATGCAGGGGCTCACACCTAGCACTCTGGGAAGCCGAGGTAGGAGGACTGCTTGAGGCCAGGAGTATAAGATCAGCCTGAATACCATAATGAGACCCAGTGTCTGCAAAAAACTAATTTAAAAAAATTAGCCAGACCTGGTGGTGCACACCCTCCTAACTACTCAAAGAGGCTGGGGCAGAAGGATCAGTATTACTGATTTCTGACTTTCGCCTCAGGCTCTCATGTAGCTCGGCATGGCACATCTTCATTGGAATTTTTGACATTTTGTTCATTATAGATGTTGAAGGATATGCAATACTGAGAGAAATTACGATCACACAACACACACACACTTATTAATGTAACATTTACATTTACTTTCCTTAAAAGGTTAAGCAGAGACTGAGTTAGTGGGGAAGGACTACAAGCAATAGGCACAAACAAGCTTTCTGGGATCTTTTCATCACTCTGCATCTCAGCTTCCATGGACTCTCAATAACTGCAAGCAAGATTTCTCCTTTTGGTCCATAGAAGGAGGTCAACGTTGCTTCCGGGTCTATGTAATTTTGCAATGCCCAGAAAACCCAATTCAGTGTTCTCCAGAGAGGATTAAGGCTGGCTGGGCTTTTATGCTCAAACTTTTACTAAAATACTGGGGATAACAGCAGCCAAAAGTGTTTGTATGGATCTTCTAAGGGCCTCCCACCGGTTTTCTCTCAAGTGCAAACAACTTGTTTATATTATTTGCTTTTGAGATATAGACATGTCTCCCCCTTTTCAAATGTTTCTCATGTTATAAAAAAAAGATATGAAGGTGATGGATAATAAGGCTGATACAATCCACTTATATAATGCTACTGAAGTAGGTGTTGACACACTTCATAAGTACGTGAGAATGTATTCCATGTACAAATGTATTGCAGCATACAATTTGTTATGTGATTTTTTTCGGGAAACAAATAGCCACTGGTCCCAACTTCATGCAAAGAAACAATCAGGAAGAAAATACTTTTTGAAAGATTTGGCAGGACAGCTCTTTGAAGAAAGCCCAAAAAGCACAAGGTCTTCACCAAAAATATACAATGGCAATGAATCTCTGTGGACATGAGGGCAATCAAGGACAAGGCACGGTGATAAGAAGCAGTTCATACTAAACCAAAAGGAAGAGTTAAGAGATGAGCAGAGAAGAGCTTACAAAGAAAAGGTCACTGCTGCCTTTGTCCCTGTGGGATAGACTGGAAATATCTGAATGCATGCAGAGAATGAAGCAAATATATCTGTCCCAGCCACACAGCAAAAGAAGAATATACAACAAAAAGATCATGTAGAGATGGCGCAGCCACGCATCAGAAGAAGAAAATATAATGAAAAAAAATTCAGAGAATGTGATTAAAGTGTTGTTAGTTACTTGTATAATGATATGAAAAATATATAGGTTTTTTTGAAGAATTATAGTACTATTTTTTCTGGGGTCAATGTCTGACCCCCACCCCGTTGGTATGTGCCTGCTATGAACATCTGCAGTTTTACAAAGTTGGGTGAACCCTGTCAGAAAAAATTCACTTTGGGGTAAATTTCTTTGGGCAGGAATGACATATCTCATATAAATGTCATAAGATATGTCATATGTGATATTTTATCACAAATCTCATAAACTCCACAATTGTGAGGGCATGACGAAAAGGAGGAGCCAGCAAAGGAAAGCAGAGAGGAAACAGCCAACTAGAAAGAAAATCAGGAGACACGGTATTTTAGAAACCAAATGTAGAAAGTGTTTCGAAAATGAGGGACTACTCAAATGCTGAAAGGTTTGAGAACTTTAAAAAGTAAGGTAATTCTTACTCATCACACATTTCTCCTCCTTACCCTCCCATAATCTGTCATACACACCCCTGCCCTCTCCAAGCCCTTAGTCCATCATCATGTAGCTCAGGAAGCTACATGAATTGTAATTATCTGGCCTTTTCCTTGAGTCTCATATTTTTGTGAGACTCTCTTATGTGTATGTATGTAATTTAAATTGCTTTCCTCCTATGAATCTACCAATTTAATTTGCAGACCAGCCAAATAATCGAAAAGGGTAGAGGCAAACAAAAAGCTTTCCTTCCCTAAAGCAGTATAGACAATTCTTTGAAAGTTTTCCTTCAAAGAAAGCAAAAACACGGAGCCAAAACTGAAGCAGATGTGGGGTCCAGAAAAGTTGTAAAATGGATCGTCTTCTGATTTTTAGAACCACTTTGTCTACATCTTGTTTTGGAAAAAACAAAAAGCTGATGGGATTCTTTACAATTCTATTTTGAGGTGACCACAGATTCACATGGGCTTGTAAGAAATAATACAGAGAAGAGCCGGGCGCAGTGGTTCACTCCGATAATCCCAGCACTCTGGGAGACATGAGGGGGGTGGACTGCTTGAGCTCAGAAGTTCAACACCAGCCTGAGCAAGAGTGAGACCCATCTCTATTAAAAATAGAAAAACTAGCCAGGCATTGTGGTGGGTACCTGTGGTCCCACCTACTTGGGAGGCTGAGGAAGAGAATCACTTGAGCCCAAGAGTTTGAGGTTGCTGTGAGCTATGATGCCACAGCACTCTAGTCCAGAGTGACACAGTGCTCTCAGAGTGCAAAAAAAAGAAAGAAAGAAAAAGAAATAATACAGAGAGATACAGAGCTTCCCCAAGTATCCATTTATATATCATTTATATAAATGGATTTATATAAATGGATTTATACTTGGATTTATACTCCTCCAAGTATCATTACAGAAGTTTGGAGATACACAAAAATCAAGAAATGTAAAATCCATTGTACAGAAACAAATGAAGCCCTTCCAGCAATATCAATAAACTGAGCAAGTTGAAACTTGCACAGGTAACTCAGAGAGAACTCTGTTGACTGTTTCTTGGAAGCGAGATAATGGGCCATAACACAGTCTATCTCAAATCTTTCATAGTGACCTATGTAGTAACATGTATGTACTACAAAATAGTATGTAAATATACTATAATATCACAACAAGAAAATTAATTAACATTGATAAAAATCAGTGCCCTTACTCAGATTTCATTCTTTACACACACTTATTTGTGTGTTCAGTTCTGTTCTATGTTAATTTTATTACATGTGATAAAATCATACATGACCACCAACCACCACAGTCAAGATTTAGAACAGTAAAGAGACAAGACATGTGTGCTACCTTTCATAGCAACTGCCAATTCTCTCCCTCCATCACCTCTGGCAACCACCAATCTTTCTCCATCACTCTAAGTCTTTGAAAATGATATATAAATGGAATCATATAGTACATAACTTTTTGAGACTAAGTTTATGCACTCCATATAATTCTCATGAGATCCATGCAAATCATGGCATGTTTCAGTAGTTCATTCTTTGTTATTGCTGAGTAACATTCCATAGTACGGATGAACCACACTTTGTTTAACCATTTACCTCTTGAACCTCTTAAAGGATATTTGGGTTATTTCTACTTTGGGGCTATTATGAACAAAACCAGTATGAAAATTAATATAAATTCATTTTGTATGAACTTTATGTTTTCTTTTCTATGGAATAAATGCCCAGGAGTGCTATGTCTGGGTTATATAGCAAGTATACATAAGCTCAAATGGTCCACAGTGAAGTTTCAGTCAATGAGGGACCACTATGATATATGTGGACTATGATAAGATTGTAATGGAGCTGAAAAATTCCTTTTGCCTAATGATGTTGTAATGGTGCAGTGCAATGCATTACTCAAATGTGGTAGAGCTGGTATAAAAACCGCACTGCCAGTTGTATAAAAGTATTGTACATACAAATTATGTACAATACATAATACTTGATAATGACAGTAAACAACTATGTTACTGGTTTACATATTTGTTATACTTTTTATTTTAGTGTGTATTCATTCTACTTATAAAAAAAATAACTGTAAAACAATGCCTTCAGAAGCAGGCACTGATATCAGAGGAAATGACAGTTTCATGCATATTATTGTCCCTGAAGACTCTCCAATAAGATGAGATGTGAAGGTGGAAGACAAGGAATGGTGATATTGACAATTCTGACCCTGTGTAGACTAGGCTAATGTGTGTCTTAGTTTTTAACATAAGAGTTTAAAAAGTAAAAAATAATTTTTTTTTAGGAAAATCTTTTTTTTTTTTTATTGTTTGGGATTCTTTG